CAATGAACTAGACAGGCAGTGGTGAGTGTTCTACGGCAGCACTACCACTGTCACAGAAGGAAAGGCTTGATGTACGCGCATGATAAAAAAACTGCCTCTGAGCTGAAAAAAACTGCCTCTAAAAAAACTGCCACTTTTTGAAAGATTCAAGATAGCATTCGTACAATTGGGAGGTTAGGTCAAAATTTGGGAGACTTGTCAGGTATGTGTTAGTCAGCCGGACTCACTCAGACTAACATTAACTCGATCCGAGCCTGAATGAGTACCAGTGAGTCGACTGAGTTCACCGACCTGTGCACCTTAGTATGCTTATGTTCACATTTTACCAGCCTAGAATGCAAACTGCATTTAAAACGACAGACTTAAAAAATGACATTATCGACATCAACAGGTCAAATTCCATTAAACATAGACATGTGGCAGCTTCCCCGAAAAAATATAATTCTGGTATTTAACGTCTAACGCAAGTCATGTCCTTTCTTGTACCCATGTGGCATGGGTATTAGTGAAATTACCACCATATTTCCAGATCATCAGACAGACAAACAGAGAGCTAAAAAGCACAAAAATCACAAACTAAAATTTCTCAGTCAGTGCTTTTTAAGACAATTAAAAATTCCTTGCATACAATGACAGGTAATCCAAAGCAAACGACAATATACGTACAATATCTGACCATGATTCGCAAAAGTTTTACATGTGAACTTCAGTGATTGTTTCAGAAAATAAATACCACTTGTATCTTATAAACAAGCTTAAGTGAGACACGCCTTGGCACGAATTTTATTACCATACTCAAGGTGTGAAGAAATTATTTAGGTGGGGAAATTCAATTAGGCCAGAACGACCGTATGAGGTAATAGATTTTGTGAAACAAGGAGAGCTTAGGAATTTAACAGTGGCATACTAACGAGTACATGTATAGCCCAAAGAGCAAGTACGTGCCAAGTGTATTTATTTATAGCAGCCGTAAAAGTCTGGCCATGAAGCCACTAGTTAGCACTGCAGGTTCATTGAACGCAACAGAAAAAAAAGAAGGTTTGTAAGGCACCATCACAGTTCTCGTAACAATGTCTTCACATTGATTGAATGATTGATTTGTAGGGTTTAACGTCCCAAAACCACCATATGATTATGAGAGACGCCGTAGTGGAGGGCTCCGGAAATTTCGACCACCCGGGGTTCTTTAACGTGCACCCAAATCTGAGTACACGGGCCTACAACATTTCCGCCTCCATCGGAAACGCAGCCAATGTTTTCACATTGTCGAAACCAAGTATGTTATGTTTCATTTAACAGTGACCAACCAGTTCCTTTTTGCCTGCCATGCATTACTTTCATGGCATTCTTCAGGTCCTGGTTCTAACAAACCCCAGATCTTGAGATTGGGTATTTTTAAGCGGGGACACGGGTCTTCGAAGGCCGAAAATCGCAAAAAAAATCGACTTTTTGAAGCTGACATTTTCGAAATCTGCACCTATTTTCGCACTTATCTGAGAAGTTTCTAGCTTCTCGCGTCATTATTTCTGGCGCATAATCAATTTATAACATCCCTGTGAGATGAATGTGAGCGCAAATTGACGCTAAAATCGCGCTTTTCCCGCGCCGAACTGTTGCCATTACACACGAGCTATCGTGTTCATCTTGGTCTCGTTGGGAAGGGTCGTTCTTCATCTTCAATTTCCCGCCACCACTAGCTCACCTTGCTCATTGGTTTTTTAGCAAAAACGCGTCATCGAGAAGCACTAGCGCGCGATTCAATTGGCTACTTGGGGCACGTGACCAAATTTAGGCATCCGATTGGCCAAGGGGCGCTTTCGGCGTCTGCTTCACCATCGTGACGTGCACGGACATGCACCATTTTGTCATGGTGCTACTGACTGCTTGCGGCAGTAAAGAAGTTCCGTGCTACAGTCATGGTGCTACTGACTGCTTGCGGCAGTAAAGAAGTTCCGTGCTACAGTAATTTGTGAAGCGGGTGTGGCGGTGGTTCGTTCGCTGTGAACTTCAGAAAGATTCCCGCTATGGCTCAGGACAACGAGGATAACAAACTCGACGCGGTCAACGGCGGTCGCCGAGTCACCGGTGTAGGCCTAACTCACGTACGAGCCCGTTGGTTGCCGCCAACGAGAACGACTGTGTTTTGCAGCCTCATCAGTTAGAGGACGGCAGGTAAAAAGCAGAAGTGAAGCTACCAGAGATATCAATCTTTGTAGTGACGGAACGGAAGTGCAGTCTTATCGCTAAACCCGCCGATGTTGTGGTTCCCCCCGCCTGACGAAAGGACCTTGAACTGCGCGACGGGTCGTCAGAGTGGAGTAATCCGTTCGCAGTGAACATGCTCGCGGCCCTCGCAATGGAGGCTACTGGCAACAGATAGACTCCATTACATACCCGGTGCATATTAACTTACTAAAAGCATGTGTGCCATGATATTTTTCCCACGGAACGGCGAAATTAAGTTTTAACAGCATTATTCTCGAAGCACAGATTTTGCCACATTCTTCTGCTTGTTCGGTAAATGTGGACCTACACATTAAGGACAGCTAGAGCTGTAATTGTTTTTGCACAATGTAGCTAAATGTGCGCAAAAAAACAATGCTGGGAGCCTATTTTTAATGGGCAGCTTCATCTTTTTTTTTTTCAGTTTAATATAAAAATTTCTGTATTTGGTTACATGCAATGAACTTTACTGTGCTGTAATTCGAGAAGTACCCGTTCAATTTTCGATCAGCTTGCAGCATTGCACTACTTAGGCTTTCTAGCATTCATTTATATGTCAATGGCTATGTAATTATAAGTGCATACATTTTTACAGTTAAAAATGTTAGAATTCTTTGTTTTCTTCATTTTCTCAAAATGGCAATTTTGTACACCCTGCATGAAAATTACTGCAATATATCTGAAACTATTACAGATAGCAGAATATTTTATTTTGCAGCACGAAGCTATATGTTAGGAGCACACAACATAGGAAGCAGATTTTGATTTCTCTTGATGCAAGTTTTTCAAACTAATCTTTTGTGTGACCACACAATGGCCACATTCAGGGCTGCGAAATTTAGTGTACTGTAAAGTGAGAAATAATGACCCATTTAAAAAAGTGCTCCTTATGTTGCATGTCTTATGCTTTCTACTGTCAATCCCTATGTTATTTATAAATTTTTGACAGGTGGTTATTTTTCTATTATGGTAAGAACAATAGAAATTGTTATCTTGATTATTTAATTAACTAATGAAGCTACAGAAAAAATAACATTTTTACAATCCGGAGAACAAACTAAGTAAGCATGCCAACTTTTGTCACACTTGGTTCAAAAATAAATGAGAGAGCCCTAGAAACCATGTCCCCCCTTAACTCAAAGTTGGGCCCTTGTTGAGAAAAATAACCAACCTTAAATTGCCATTCTAATTGCAATCACAAGTGAACATCTTCAGTCAAGCAGCACACGCTGTAATGGCACCACTCTTTTTACTAAGGGGCACACTGTCCGACTACAGAGTGGTATTGTACCAAAAGAGCATCTCTCAATAGTGCATAATAACTAGAACAAAAACAGACACATTTATTTTCTGAGCCAGGTGTAGAAGAAGAAGGGTGAAGTGTTAGATGCCCAAACTGTAAAAACATTAGGAGGTGTGCTGTAATAGGGGACGCTGGATTAATTTGGACCCCCTAGCAGCCTTTAGAACGAAGTTGAAACACTTGTGAGACAAAATTACTTTGGTGTGCCTAATCACAGTTTGTTCCCTAATGAATTCGAAGAACAACGTGAGTAATCTCGAAAGTCAATGCAAGTAGCTTTTCTTTGGGGGAGGGGAGTGAACATTGCTGCACCCACAGCTTCTTGAGATGCTGAACGAATGAGGTAACGTCATCATCTCTATGCTGCACAGTCTTCAACATAAAAACTATTGAACAGTGGGCTCCACAATCTCTGCCAACAGCACATAGCAGGAGCTAATCACGGAGGCCATGGTTCAGGATGCGAGAGATCCTTGTCAACATTCGCGCTCGGCTGTTTATCATTACGGAAGATTTTGCAATCTAGCTGCCGAACTTTCCGAGTCTGTATTTACTTGAGCCTCGAGTAGATAAACAGAGCTCTCACAGTTAGCTCGGATTAGCCTCCTATAGGAAAACAGCGCAGCCACAGTTAGCTCGGATTAGCGAGTGGCGGGAACCTTCAGTAGCAGTCTGTCAACGAAACCAAAGATGACGTAGTTCCAGTATATTCACTGCTGTGCTCACACTTCTGACGTGGTTACGAGGATGGAGCTAAGTAAACTTTGCTTCCCTGTATTCTAAAGCTTCTGCTGCGACAATTGCGAAAATAATCATGGCACCATAATGTCTAGCCTTATGAACCACGAAGCTCAACATAACAGACAGCTAAACTACTTCATTGGTATTCAAGTGAAAACAACTTGCCGTCCAAGCACAGACACAACAGAGAATTCAAGGCACTACAAAAGCCGACCAGCAAGCTGTTAGTCTGCGTTTGTGGTGTCTTGAATTCTTTCTCCCGTTTTTGCTTGCACGCCCCGTTTTTTTTTACAATAACTATGAAGTTTTTCTGAATTCTAAAACCACTTGAGCTTCCCTTAATAGTGTCGCTAAATCTAAGCACAGTGGTGTTTCTGCATTTCGCCCCTGTATAAATGCGGCCGTCATGAATGGGAATCAAACCCAGGACCAAAGTTTAGCAGAACGACATCGAAGCCACTAAGATAATACAGCAGATTGGCAATGCTGCAAGGACACCACTGAACTATCAGCCTGTTACCCCATTCTAAGGAGGCATTAACAAACCACTGACCTTGCTGCAAGCTAGGCTAGTATAATGCACAAGTTCCTTTGGCTACTGCTTGTTGATCACCATTCGCCTACTACCAGACAACTTGGAAATTACATGGGCACGGTGCCATTCTGTTTACTAACAGGGTGAGTAGGGAATCTGTTGCAACAAGATAGTTAGGTTACCCTGCCATGGTCTCACCTCACGATTCTGCCTCCGAAGAGCGCTCTTTCGTAGGAGATCATCGAGGCCAACCTGAAGGAAGAGAACAAAAAGGAAAAGGTCAATTGAAATACACAAGGCACAATTGATGTGTCGCAAGTACAGTGGATCAGCTGAAGTGCATCCATGTGCAAACAGTTTTATAACTGAGATGTATTCTGCAAGTTTTTGGAGACAGTGCTGCTGCTGGCAAATTCGAAGAGGTGAAAAATTCTTGGAACATGGGGCATCGCTGGAGCTAGAAACGCCCCATGCTAATAAACTGTTCATCTTTTCACACTTTTATCTATCTATGAATTTTCGTCTTCATTAGCTAAGTTGTGTTTTCAATATAATGTCCCGCCTCTCCCTCTTCTCTCTACCTGCCAGAACGGGTTAAATAAGCAGCTGCCTTATTCTGCCAGCTGATACCTCCCCCCCCCTTTTTTTTTGTTTGTCACGCTATTACCAGCAACTGATACTGCGAGGAATAGCACTTGAACGCACAAAAAGGGCAACAGCTTTGCTTTCTGGGTAAGCCACAACAGTGCTCTCTTCTTGAAAAGGAAATGTCATTCACCTATTTGCAGAACGAAGGTAACCAGAAATACATGCGGAATTATAAGAAAAGAACGCTTCTTGAGAAACGCGCGATTCGTCCTGGCTTTCAGCGTCCCTGCGGTTTCAGTTGTCGAGCGATACGCAAACGGCAACAGTTTACGCATCGTCGCTACAGTTGAAAAACCACTCGCTACATAATCAAGCCGCCTGCATTATGAGAAGCAAAACTTATTGACGCCCTGCTAGCGTGAAAGTAGCAGCCGGGCGTTAAATCTGGCAGTTTTGGTTACTGCAGGTGTAGCAGAGACTATCGAAGAATAAGGAGCATGTATTATGTACCTAATTCAATTTGTCAGCCTGCGCTGACAAGTGCTCCGATAGTCCACCAACGTATAACGGTGGATCACCAACGCAAGCAATCACGGCATGCAAGCAAAGTGGCGCGGTGATTAAGTTAAGGCGTTGCCTACAGTAAAGGGAGAACCATTATACGAGACAGCACGCAATCGCAATGGAATTTACAAAACCAGTAACTACAACAGCGATCGGTTGAGCGGTCGCACACTCAACACCACACGGCGCGCGGTAATTGAACATTTCAGCTCACCTTTTTGCTGGCACCTCCCAGCGACTGCTGCGGCCTTTTTCTGTACTCTCCCTCGAAGCTGTACATTGTGCACGGTTGAGGATTAGACGAGTTCCTCGGGCGCAGGTTGACATGAACGGCAATCGACCACAGAGTGCGGCTAAGTGCGTCAGCGACCTCTCATCGTTGACGTTCCGTCGCCTACTGGGCACGTACGCTAAGTTAAAACACGAAAGAGTAATACACAAAGCGAACTTTGAATTAGAGACGACACGGCGCCTATGTCATCGCGATCTGCTCGCTTTCGTGCACTACCTGGACAACCGTAAACTCCCTTCGGCCTTGACTCGAAAGCTGTTTGCAGTCCACCACCTGACCGGCTATGTTTCACCGTTAGCTTCTGAATCCCCGCGCCTGACCTTAATGGCACAATCTCTTCTGCAATTTGGAATGTTGAATCGCGGCAGCGACGGAACGCCGATGCGCTCGAAGGCGATTTCGCATATCGAGCAGGGAGAACAGCGGCAATGAACAAGCTTTCCTTGCCGAAAACAAGCATGCGTGCAAGTCACACAGCCTTCTGAACTTCCTTTGCCTGCCGGATTATCAGCGGTCACTTGGGAAACAGCCGTCGTAGGAACTGCGGTCGTGGCGCTACTTAAGTAGGGTTCTTTTCAGATAAGTTTTTACGTTTTTTGAAACTTATATGCAACAAAAATAACGTAAAAATAATAAAATGCATGAACATAACTATATGTTATTGTATTGTAAATTTAAAATAAGAAAGGTTGTTGGTCAATCTTTAAGTCGGGGACGCTACTTACGCATGGTGTTAAGGTGCGCTTTTTAAATGTTTGCGACTACGCGTTAGTATGAGCAGTGGTATGAGTTGGGTTCCCACAGTCACTTGTGGGTTAACTATCACTGACAAAGTGTCAGTAATACTGACATTTGACGTCATGATGAAACGTTTAATGCTTTTTGTCGGTCAATATGCGATCAGCAAAAGAAAGGAAGAAGCCCGTGTTTTTGGCGCTACAGCAAATATTTAAAAAAGAAGGAACTACGAACTTAATTTCAGGCATTATTTTTACAACGTGTTTCAGCTGCATAGTGGAGAACACCATGTAGTGGCGTAGAAATGGGGTGGCAGACCGGGCACCTGCCATCCCCCCTCGTCACAAAATTTTTTCTACCATAGAATACATGGCGCAAAATAACACATACTCGACCACATACACCTGCCCAGACCCACAGTTAACCCACAGTCACTTGTGGGTTAACTATATATCACTGACAAAGTGTCAGTAATACTGACATTTGACGTCATGATGAAACGTTTAATGCTTTTTGTCGGTCAATATGCGATCAGCAAAAGAAAGGAAGAAGCCCGTGTTTTTGGCACTACAGCAAATATTTAAAAAGAAGGAACTACGAACTTAATTTCAGGCATTATTTTTACAACGTGTTTCAGCTGCATAGTGGAGAACACCATGTATTGGCGTAGAAATGGGGTGGCAGACCGGGCACCTGCCATCCCCCCTCCCCCCTCGTCACAAACTTTTTTCTACCATAGAATACATGGCTAGCTTCTTCAGAATATAAGCACCTATTATTTCCCTGGAACAGTGAGTTATCGCGGTCGAGAATAATAGAAGTGGCCATAACCAAACTTCGCTGCCGGGCCCGGTTACCCCCTGAACTTTTACCTGCATAGAGCTAGTCAAGCGTTGTCTCCTTTGTGTATCTTCTGTATGGAGGAGGAAACAATCTGTCATTACTTTCTATACTGTCGCCGTTATACGTCATAGAGAAGAAGATTCATAACACCACCTCTTCGAAACTTGAGTCTGGAAATATCCGAATCAGTTGTTCTATCATTCGGCGCTTCTACTCTGGGCTACAGTCACAGCTGTTTACTACTGCCATAGAGGAATTTATCAGTCAGACTAAAAGAATATAGAGCTAAATTCTTCATTCTTTTAAACATTTAAATATTATTATTTAGTAATTATTGGTTGTGTAACCTATCCCTAGCATATACGAGTAGTATTGCGAAGAGACAAAAAAAAATCACCTAACACTCGGCCAATCCCCTGCATTGGGTAAGAGCCATGAGATGAGAAGAACCTTTCTCTTTGTTTCCTTTTTTTAATATACTGTCTTCATTCTGCAACTTTTTTTTACTTTTTGTTGTAATCAATAGTACAGTTATCGTCCATATGAGACTATATGTTCTTTTGGCCAATCCACCAGAGTGGGTATGAGCCATGTGTAGTGGAGCATACGCACTAACGTGTATGCGCCTTCCAAAGAGAAGGAAAAACCCCGTGCTCTGATTGCACGAGAACCTGGGCCGCCTTTTGCCAGACTTGTCGTACGGCCATTTTTCGTTGCGACATCGTTGCGACTTCTCCGGTTCAATAAACGTCATCACATTTGGTGGAGGCTGCTGAGATCCCCAAGCAGACATGGAGCTCCGCTCTCGCAAGTTGCCCGAGAGACCACTGCAAAACATGACTGACGCAGTCGCCAACCAGCCCGTCCCAGCCCAGCCAGCACCATCGGCTGCCCCGTCTACCTGCCCCGGCGCTACTCGCCAACGGGACCCACCAATCTTCAGCGGCAGTGGCGAGCAAGACGTCGAGGACTGGCTCTCCTTGTACGAACGCGTAAGCGCCAGTAACAAGTGGGACAACGACTCTAAGCTCGCCTACGTTATATTTTACTTGGCAGACGTAGCTAAACTTTGGTTTACGAACCGCGAAACCGCCATCGCCAACTGGTCTTCCTTTAAGACACTCGTCACTGAAGCGTTCGGCCGACCAGAGGTCCGCAAGCTCCGCGCTGACCAGCGCCTGCGCCACCGAGCCCAGCAGCCTGGCGAGACTTTTACTAGTTACATAGAGGACGTGCTCGACCTCTGCAAGCGTGTGAATCCATCTATGCCCGAAGAAGAAAAAATTCGGCAGATTCTCAAGGGCATCGAGGATGGCGCATTCCAGATGTTGCTAGCGAAAAGCCCGAACACGGTGGCAATCCTCGTAAGCCTCTGCCAGAGCTTTGATGAATTGCACCGTCAGCGTTCCATCGCCCGACAGAGTGTCCTACCGCCGGAATCGATCTCGGCAGTCACACTCACAAATGCCAACGTTTGCAAAGAAAGTCTATCCAACCAGATCAAAGACTTCATCAGGGAGGAAGTCGCCCGACAGCTCTCCCTGCTGCCGCATAGCGACGCGCCCACCGCAAGCCTGCCTACGACACTGCAGCAGGCCATACGCACGGAAATTTGTGATGTCCTCCCTACAGTGCAGGCCCCTTACCCGTGCACTTCAGTAGCGCCTAATCTCTCAGCTGTCGGCTACGCACCACCTGCACCACCTTCACCTCTCAGCTACGCAGCTGTGGTCGCGCGGCCCCCACCGCATCCAGTCGCCTTATCAGCTCCACCTCCTCCGGCATCGCCTCCAGTTTACAGGCCCTCACCTCGCTTTTTCCATCGATCTAATGAGTGGCGCACTCAAGACAATCGTCCTATCTGCTTCGCCTGTGGCATCGCTGGCCACATTGCACGCTTCTGCCGCCGTCGCCCCACACCTGCAAACGCATACTTCGGAACTCCTACCTACGCGCCGCAGCAGGCCACCGCATCTGCATATGAACAGAGGCACTCAGACTCGGATCGCCGCCCATCGACTGCTCGTTTCCCATCCCCTCGTCGCCGGTCGCCATCGCCTATGCGTCGCCGACCACCTCCTGAGGAGGGAAACTAATCAGTGCAGTTCCGGAGGCAAGAACTGCAACTTGTGCGCAATTCCCAAGGCCTCCGTTTTCGCCGAGAAATGTTGTTGATGTCGTTGTTGAGGGAGTCGCCACATTAGCGTTACCGGGGCCGCCGTTTCTGTGATGGACGTCAAATTTTGTCGGAAACTGAAGAAAGTGACCACATCTCTCTGTGGCATGGTGCTGTCCACGGCTAGCGCGCAACGCATTCATCCCTCAGCTCTGTGTACGGCGCGCGTCGTCATCCAAGATGTTTTGTACGTCGTACAGTTTTTTGTTCTGCCATCTTGCTCTCATGACCTTATCCTCGGTTGGGATTTCTTATCAGGTCATGAAGCTATCATCGATTGTTCCCGTGCCGAAGTGTCCCTTGTGCCAACATATGAATTTCCACCACCCGACCGGTCTCCTCGGCTCTGCAAACTCATCGCTGACGACGACATCACCTTGCCCCCGGAAGCTTCGGTCCCTGTAAGCCTTTCATGTGTGGCGCAACCTGACGCCACGGTGGTCTTTACGCCATCTCCTGTTTTTACTGAACGCAAGGGCATCGTTCTCCCATTTGCCGTTCTTACAATTGCATCTGGTTTAACCGTAATGCTGGTTACCAACCACTGCAACTACCCCATCAGCTTACTTCGTGGTGAAACGTTGGGATATGTGCAACCTGTCGACCATATCGATGATATTATTCCTCCCGACGAAACGCCATGTCACATTGCCGCAATAACTCATGCGTCTGAGCCATCAAGTTTGTCAGCCTTCGACAATGCTATTGACGCAGACCTTCCCCTCTCGCATCGCCGCCAACTTGTTGCTCTCCTTAACAAGTTTCGCTCTTCTTTCGACTTTCAAGAACCTGCTTTGGGCCGCACCACGACTATCACTCATACTATTGACACCGGCTCACATTTGCCTCTGCGACAGCGTCCTTACCGAGTTTCCGCCGAAGAGCGCCGCGTCATTACGGAGCAAGTAGACGACATGCTTAAACGAGGAGTGATACAGCCTTCTCAAAGCGCTTGGTCATCACCTGTCGTTCTGGTCAAGAAAAAAGATGGCACCGTTCGATTTTGCGTGGACTATCGCCGCTTAAACAAGATTACGAAGAAAGATGTCTACCCGCTACCACGAATAGACGATGCTCTTGACTGAGGCGCCGAGTACTTTACATCCTTGGATCTGCGTTCTGGGTATTGGCAGGTGCCAATGGCTGAATGTGATCACCCTAAAACAGCCTTTGTAACGCCAGATGGTCTATATGAGTTCAAAGTGATGCCATTTGGGCTCTGCAACGCACCTGCCACATTTGAGCGCATGATCGATACCATCTTGCGTGCCCATAAGTGGAAAACTTGCTTGTGTTACCTGGACGACATCGTAGTCTTTTCGTCTGATTTCCCGACACATCTTGTTCGCCTCCACGAGATTCTGACGTGTCTAACTTCTGCGGGCCTACAACTTAACTCCAAAAAGTGCCACTTCGCAGCACGAAAACTAACCATCTTGGGACATGTCATCACAAGAGACGGTGTTCTTCCGGATCCCGATAAGCTTCGGGCTGTCGCTGACTTCCCGTTGCCCACATCACTGAAAGCTCTAAGAAGTTTCGTCGGTCTCTGCTCGTACTTTCGTCGCTTTGTGCCCAACTTCGCGTCCATCATCGCACCTCTAACAAGTCTGCTCTCCAACAGCAAAGGTATATATATATCTGCATGGTCACCTGCATGTGACGACGCATTTCGCCAGCTGCGCCGCCTGCTGACCTCACCACCCATTC